TTCTGGATACTTTCAAAGGTAGACGCCATAGAAACATTCATTGTACCTTAATTTGCTTACTAATATAGTAAGTTGGAAAGTAAAGGCCTAAATCATTAGTTAAACATTAAAATAAACCTTATAAAGAATATTTATTCTTTTAAAAGAATACCTTTCGATGTAGTAATTAAAACGTAAGTTATAGAGCTTTTCAAATATTAAGAAATTTAAAGAAGCAGTAAGTCACAGATTTAAACACCAATAGTTACAAAAACCGTTTGTGGATAAAAGAATCACTAATCCAATTCCCAAATGAAGATGCACTCATTCTCTTGATGTTCAATTAATTCTCATTGTTGCCGGCAAAGATCATCACTGAGGCTGTATGTGAGCTAGAACCATGTATTGTCAGTAAGGAACCCACCTGACCTAAAGTTCTGAGGACCCATTCTCTTAAAACATGGGAATTTACATGATTCTGCACAAATTTTTCCTAAAGTAATTCGAGGAGTATTTAGTTATAAAAGTGAAAGAACTAAGCTCCGAAATTAGGATGTTTGATATTCTCAAATCTAAAATTGTCAATTGGAAGATAAGCCTAGAAAATGATTTGTTCATACTTGCAGTAAATTTGTTAGCATAAAGCTTTGTGGTTTCGGTACTGAAACTCGAGCATCACCTTGAACCTAACGAAAGTTTTACACATCTAGGTACCTTCAATATTTTAAGTGAAATATTGAGGGTATTTTATCTTAAAGCGAAACCATTTCTCGGAAAAACTGATTAAATTATGTTTCAGCCCAAAATTTAAAGATTAATTCTCTGTAAAACGATATTTGATTTAAAAAATAAATAAATAAAGAAGATTGTGAAACTTTTATTTTAACGTACAGTTTATAACTGCTTACAACATAGCTTAAGTATTAACTGAGGTTTACAGTATCACCAATTTTACCAATTCCTTACTTTAATTCACCTCCTTTTCTTGCTTTGTCACAAGAAGTTTCCTAAAATTCTCGCGATCGACCCTGACCTATATTAGTGTCGATTCCAGATTCGCCCTTGAAAATTCTTAGTACAAAAGCTAACCATAACCCGTACGTCCCAGTTACTTAACAATGCTCTGGGAAAAAAATTTCAAATTTTAGTAAAAGGGGTTAGTAGGGAAAAACCATCTGCAGCCTCGGACGGATGCGGGACTGAAAGAGTTACCGGATGGGGTTGAAGGGGCCCCAAAGGGGTATGGGAGAGGGTTGGAAAGCTGGGCCCCTAGGTTAGGGAAGGGGTGACATGAGGTGAACGAACTACCACGAAGAACAACGCGTGTCCTCATTTGGATCATATGACGCGGAGGCCGCAGTTACAGTTACTTCCTGGTTGAAGTTTTAAGATCGTGACGGAAACTTTCAAGCGAATTAACAGAAAACTTCTTGACAGAGATTAAATTCGTTTCAAAAACATAAATTTTTAATGTGAAAAAAGGAAAATTAATCTTTCTAAATTTTATTTAATTGTTTCCTTGATGAGATGTTAAAAGAGACAGAACTATACAGCAATAATCAAAAAATACTCCCTCAAATCATTACTTAGATTTTTTTCAGAGAAACCATTACTATAATTGCAAGATTTATCCCATCGGGAAGGAATAAAATAGTCCATCTTTATTTTGTTTTATTTTATTAAAAATATCTTAACAAGTTTAAATTCTTTTTTTTTAATTTATTTAATTTTTTGTTTTATTTCATTCAGGCACATTACTTAATTTTTAAACTTACTAATTTTAGACAAGGTAAGACCTTGATTTTTTAAATATGATTTAATATTTCTGTTACGTTTTCGTTAACAGATATATCTGTTTCCCATATTAAAATAGTACCCTAGAAAATTTCGAAATTGATAAGACCCCCTCCGGCACGCACGCAAGACAAGCGATATATATAGGAGAGAAACATCAGTAAAAATATCACAAAGTAGAAAGGGAAATTAATTAAGAAATATTCTTACTGTACACTCACTCTCAAGGTCACGGTTATGACTACGTTCGGCTATAAGGAAGGAAGAGTTGCTCGATGTGCGAGTATGAGGGAGGGGCGGAATTCGTTGCTTTTGGGAGAGAAACGGAAAAGAGTCTCAAGGCATTTAAGATACTTAATTTAAGATTACTTAACGCATGATGTAATCCTTCTACTACAAGTATATAATAAGAAGAGAGGGCTAATTAGACCATGTCCTTTTATTTAAATGAATTGTTTTCTTGCTAGAATTCAATAATTCTTCTTTGGCTATTAAAAATTTTGATATTTTAAAAGCGGACTCTGTTATGCATTTAAACTTTAATTAGACGATAACATCTTTTTATTAATAATGGTTGCACAGACATACAGATATTAAATATTTAAATGCAATTTAAGAGCAAATATTTAAGTGAAAAACATTTAATATTATGAATACCAAATTTAATATTCAAGTAATAACATAACTAAGCAACCAAAAGGAATTGAATTACAGTTAATAGATTTATTTACCGATTGCAGTTTTAGCTACATTCTATTCAATATGACTAATACATGACTAATACAGTTACACAACATAAATTAACAACAACAAATAATAATAATAGAGGAAAGTAAACTATGCTGCATCAAACCATAAAAAGTCTACATCACATAATAAAAATTCATCTAAAATAAATTATGAAACGATACGCTTAAATTTTGGGGAAGATGCTATGAAAATATTAAAATGAAGCAGCAGAACATCTACAAACAGAATTATAGCTCTCAAAATTTCTGAAGTCATTAATACCTAATCCAGTATTTGCAGTACGAAGGGTTACCCATCTGGAGAAAAAATTCTTGATTTAAAAAAAAAAAAAAAAAAAAAAAAAAAAAAAAAACATTTATCAGTGTAATTCAACAGCTTTGATATTCTACAGCTTGACAGCTAGTTTTATAGCTATCAATGTTTATTTGCCAACCTAATATCCGTATATTTATTCTGAGTAGCCAAAATATTGCAGACACGTATTTTTTGACCTGGACAAGTCTTACAGTGACATAGAGTGATGACAAATTTCAGCTTAATACAATTCAGGTACATCGCAAAACATGTCCAAACGCAGAATACAACGGTTTTGAACGGAAAAGTTTTATCGACAGGAGACCGTGAAGGTCACCTGTGTTGCCACGGATTTACAAGAAATCATGGTTGCTGTGGCTCCAGCAGCATTAAACTGATTACTTGATAGTGGAACGATATTGTAATTAACAAATATGGAATTCAATCTACACTCAAACACAGACTTTTACAATTTTCATTTTTGATGGCGCAAAAGTCCTTCGAATTAATTCAGCCATTATTTTGAGCGTTAAATCTGTTTTAAAAACTAAAGTCGATTGCAAGATAATAAATAGTATAAATGTTTAACCAGTTTGACAATTTTTAAAAACTGGATTAAAAAGTTTATATAAAAAAGAATGAATTTGTAGAAACGCACACAAAAATTGGAGGATTTGTATACCAAGCTATAGAATCAAACCAGTAGTTAAAAACAGGATGGTCAGTCAAAGTCTGATTGCCTTTCTTAAATTATTGTCTAAGGTAAATCATTATTTCTAGACCATGAGCAACAAGATATAGTGAGAACTATTAATATCATCTAATTCGCAAACTTTTAAAAATTCGTATAAAACCATCTGCATTTGCCTTATAGGAACTTTCTGATGAAATCTCTGTTTACATTGATTTCCCTTTCTGTGTCTGCCCAGGGTTTTTCAGAAGGAAGATATTCAAATTTTCTGTATCCTCAGTGTGAAATAATAGTTTTATTCTTTGCAACACTCTCAGTAAACAAATCCCATAGATGAGTGCCACGACAATGATTAGGAAACTTTTAATAAAATTAGTGAGTAAGATTGGTTCATCCTATGAGAAAGGAGGAGAATATGGCTGCCTATCGAGGCGTTGATAACGAAACCTGACAGCAATAAAAGCAGCTTTAAACATTTATTAGATCTTGGTCTATGATGCCTTTGTTGTCTCATAAGTCCACATGTCCATAAGAAATTGAGTCCTCTGGAAACCATTAAGTCTATGTGCCACATAATCATAATAAAGATTGAAAATGTTAAAAAAAAGAATGCAAAATGGGTACATCAGTAACTGATTTCACATCAAATGTCTGTCTCTCTAGGTTACTGAAGAGCCAATTTACGTGCTTGTAATGACAAATAATCTGCCTGTGTTATGTAGCAACAGCCAATCGATGCATACATCAGTATGTATCGACAATCACAGAAAGATCAAATAATAGCCATTTGAATAATAAGTACATCACACTCAAAATAAGCCACAGTTCTTAAGACAATGAAGCTTAACCCAAGTTACCAACTGCAGGCAGCAATAATATAAGTTGCTATCAAGTTTGGAGCCAAGAAGAGCAATAAATTATGAAAGACATTTGAAGTTATTAAAGAGACTTGACGATTGATAGACTCGCGGCAACTGAAAACTCATAATTTAATTATTCAACGACAAGAAAATGTTTTGTAGGCACCCAACAGTTAAGGCCTGACTTTAAGATGTCAGTATTGAGCGTTGGATTTAATAAAATAAATTTTAAAAAATAAAACTAACATATAAAAAAGAAGCTTTTACAAATTGAAACAATTTATTTTTATTTTTTAAAATTTTTTTTTAAAAAGTTATAAAAATTCCTGGTTTAATATTCTAGTATATATCTTCTAGTATATGGAAATATGTTTCCAGAATCAATTAAGGTTGAATTTCTATAACGAAGAAAACACTTAAGCCTTTTTAAACATTCTGCAAGGAAAAAAATTACAAGATTTGCAACTAGTACGAAATTTAATTATAGTGAGCTATGCATTACTTTGGAAACGCATCATGATTTACTTTGTTAATTATGCTTTCGAAATTCTAGGTCAAAAGAATCTAGAGCATTTTTATGCAAAAATTAATTTAATTGATATTTACCAAACAAAAAGTAAAAGATAACTTACCTAGATTAATCAAGTACCTGGAAGCTAAAGTAAACAGTTCCTTCTCTTCTGTATAAATTTTGAATATTTCTATATAAAAAAAGTAAAGAAACAAACTTTCTTATAAAATTATATCACACAACAAGTTTGAAATTTTAATGCAGTAAGCATAAACTAAGAAAGAAACGAGCTAACGTACTTCAGCTGAAACTTAATTACATCACAAGAGTGATGAAAAAAATTAGATGTGTAAATTTAATTACCATTTTATTCAGTTGAAAAGTTAAAATTTTCAGTGAGAATATAAAAGAAACTAGATTTAAACAAATACATAGTGCTTAAAATTCTTAAAAGGAAGGAAGAATTTAAAAAATTTGTCTCAAAAAATAATTACATAGCAATCAGAAGCATTTTGAATCTTAAAAAGCATATACATGCACGTAATAAAAAATGTTAAAACCCCAATACTCTTAAAAATTCTAGGCATAATGTTTAGTGGTAAAAGAAGCACGAAAGTCTTCAAATTAACTTACTAATAATTTCTTTTGTTAAGAATATTAATTTTATCTTTTATCTAAATGAGATAATAGTCTTTTTTTTTCAAATATTTATGAAAGTCAATTTAGAACAACGAAAACTGTTTGTTATTAAATAGTTTACCTATTTTTTAACTTCCAACTTGAAAAACTATTAAAAATTCAGTACAGTATTAACACTTTATGTTTTTTTTTAACTATTAAGCACTTAAACATTTTATATATATTTTAACACATTGTTTATGAAGTGAAAACCAGTTTCGTTTTGGTTTCAGATTTTTATACGGTTATTCAAAATAGCTAAAGCAGAATGATGTTTACTACAGGATATTATTCAAAGTAACTAAGTTAGAGCAAAACTTTCTCCTGAGTATTATTCAAATATTTACGGCAGAAAAAAAGATTTTAGCAGATGTGCATATAATTATAAAATTTAGTATGAGAGTAGAATTAGTTTAGCTAAGATTAGATTGATGGCGATCACAATATTAAAAACAATCAGAATACCCTGCTTTTGGGAGTTTAAGTTTAGAGTGCAAAACTGATAAATTAAGCAACTTTACGAAAAATGCTTGAGCACAAGGAGCAGATAATTTTGAAAGAAATAAGATCATGTTATTCTTTAATCTCCAATGTACTACTTTTTTATAATTCTGTAATTTATGAAAAGTAATAGTATTGTATTATTGCAGTGGCGGAAACAGTTCTGTTTGTTTCAGTTGCATTGATTGACTGTAACTGTAAGAACCTTTCATGAAATACAACTGAATTCTCACTTCTATGCTGTTGTTATTTTGTAATTATTTAATTCACGAAACAGGTACTCTAGAAATTGAGCAGTTATAAAGATTTAAGGTATACTAATATCCCAAATTACCTTTACATGCATAAAAATAATGATATTTCATACAAAGTAACCAATAAGTCTGATTTATTTATAGAATGACCAAAGGTAAATCTTATTGTCATTATCCAATCCAATTTGATCAACCTATTTTCTGAAAGGCAAATAATAGTACGATATTTTCAAAACACGTGGCAAGCAGGTTATTCTTTTTCTGAGGGCTGAGACAGTTTTGTATCACGCATTTACTGCTTTAAGTAAGGATCAAGAAATTTTAGTCCAGTACCAAGATCTAAAATTTTCTGCTTGACCCCGTTGCTTTTCCTTTCCTTTTTTGCCTGGATATTTGAATAAATAACCCCGATAATTAAAAAATTCTTTTCTGTAACTACAAACAAAGCTAATAATAAAAGCACATTTCCTTGTGAACTTCTGAAATTCAGGGTTTTATTTGGGTGTTGAGAATAAAACTTTTTTAAAATACTACTAAAGTATCATTTCACAAAATCTCTTGAAGTAAAGGTGTATCGACCATTTAGAAGCAATATGGACAATTTATGGGTATGGCAAAGTAGTTAAAAGCTTCAAGATAAATTACATCCACCTTTCTGAAAATATAAATTGAGACCTTTCTGATTTTAAAACTCTGAAATTACTGCCAGAAAAGCTGGACAATGTCGTAGGAAAAGAGGAAATATTTATAAAGATCGGTTACTCTCTGTAAGTACCTGTCGCAACAGGAATTTGATTCGCAGACGGCTGAATTCAGATCTTACATCCACCCTGCAGTTTTTGGATTGTAGTAGATTTTGTACAAGACGTTAAATAGGCCTTTACATAAAAAAGCCAATAGCTTCTGTCTCACTGATCTTATAAAAAAAAAGTTAATTTAATTTGAAAATCAGAAATGGAACCTACAATAACAAGCATGTACTCGCTTCATTGCAAGTTGAGATTCAGTTTAATATTTGATTCTTAATGAGTTTATATCTAGAAAGAATCAAGAACATCGGGAATTAGGGAATATGCTATAATGATGTCAGAAGGAATAACGTTAAACTTACGTATTATGAACGTGAGTGCAGTAGAGGACCGGATTTTGTTCAGAGATATCGATATGAATCCTTTCAAACCCAGTATTTGTATAAATCCACCATTTGTGCATGATATTTTTATGGATAGCAAATCGAACAAATCTGTTTGTGAATTTATCGAGACTGAATGCATTGAGAGAGTATTCACTAGAAGCACACATTCACTTATAAAGCTTATGCAGAATAGACTGAGATAAAAAGAAAGACGTCATCTTAAATAACTGAACTTGTATTGCGTTAAATGAAATCCAAAATCTTTTGCCTAAGTTAAAATTAACAGCCCATCAAGAAAGTAGCCACACGGAAAGTAATTGATTACATTTTGTTCTTCATACTGTTGAGGGAATAGAATCTGTCTCTCAACTCTCATATTACCCCAACATATTCAGTGCAGTACATTTTTAGCAGTTTATTAAGTTCTGACTATTGGACTGTTAAAAGCAATTCTATTTATACAAGTATTACATCATTCTCATTTGTCAACGACAAAATAATACATTTTACATAAATAACATCTGATTTCATCTAGATGCTGTACTGCTTTATTTTGTAATCAGAAGGGAGGATCAGACAGGTGTTAAGTAGCCATTACTAATTTAGCTAGGATTACGCTGCTAAGAAGTGTCATATGTATAAGACTAGATATTTGTTCACAGCAGAAAGTCTTTTATAAATATATTCTCTCACCTGAGCTGCATTTTTTACTTGAGCGATCCTTATACACCTAAGATTTTCAAACTTGTTTTTTCTGTATTGAAATTTCATTTTTTCCCATATTTAAAAAAGAATTAAGACTTCGATAGATAAACATTCAACTGAAGAACATCATTAACAGCAAACATTATAAAAATATAGAATAACGCTTGTCAACAAAGAATTTGTCAAAGGAAAGGTAAGCCTTGTTTTCCATATATTAGAGTATCTTGATTTAGAAATACCCACTAGATTATATAGTTACCACCCACAGTTTTCAGAGACTTCATGTGCTGTTTTCATACTTTACTTTCGGCTTTTATGCTCCAGTTCTGGTTCCTAGTTACCTGTAACTGCCAATTACATTCTTATTCTTAATAATATAAACTAATTCCCATCAACACAGTTAGCCATCAACAAAACAACTCTGGATCTTTCAAAAATATATACGCTTTTACTAAGTACTAAGCTGGGACTTACTATGGACTTTGTTAAGGCAGTGAATATAAGCGATTGCGTGTATGATTAATTAAATCCTAGAAGCTAATTTCCTAGAATAAGTGATGAAAAAAGGAATTTTTTATGAGATCTTTTTGTGTGTTTTTGTGTCACAACTATTTCTGGTTTAAGGAAGTTCAAGGAGCTGCACGAAAGATTAATTTGAGACGTATTCAGACAAAGAATACGTAAAATGCAGTGGATATTCTTTTGAGTCATACGAATTGTCCTTATTTTTTTTTCATCAAAACACCATTTTGGTGTTTTTGGAGCAATCATCGAATGACGTATTAATAGTGTTCATCAGAAAATCTCGAGTATCCAGAAATGATATCATGGCCATTGAGGCCATAATATCCTAGTTCATTTCATCTAGGGGTATGATCAAAAAAGAACTTGCAGGCCTTGAAATTCTAGGAGAATAAGGCAATCGATACGACTAGAATTCTTATATCTGAGAAAATAAATTTCTAAAATAATCGTCTCCATGAACCACAAATTAAAAAATTATTTCTTTGTACGAAATTTCTCCGAAATTCGATCATGTAAAAAGAAATAGAGAAATTTTGAAATGAGGAATAATCTTTTGAAATCATATGAAATTATAAAATGAAACAAGTCTTAAAATTTTTATATTTTGATCTTTTACTCAGATTTCTGCCTCGACAGTTTTGGTAGATTGAAAGATAAGCGTGAATCATTGGAAAATGACATCAGAGGCAGTGAAGTTCCAGTGCACTTCCTGAAATCTACTCAGTCTTTAAATATAATTTTTAGGTAAATTAATTGCACCAAAAGTCCTTTACTTTTCCTTTTTAGATGATTTCCTTCACCGATGAACATATAAACTTATGTACGTCCATGTGAAATTCAAAGGCATGCCATAAAAAGTTCACTGTATGTATTCCATGTATGAATTCAGCAATTGAAGTAAGATCAGACTGACTATTTTATTTGTGAAAAACAAAAAAACGAAATTAAATTTCTTAGTGTAGTTAATGAATTATATTGTTTTCTGCAGTCACTAAGATTGCATTTTTATGTTAGCTTTTACAACTATGAATTTAGTTCTATGGATTTTGCAGATTGATTTCGAATCAAAAGCTATAACAGCATTCAGGGGGGTTAAATTAATTGGAATCCAAAAAACTAGAAAAGACAAACTATTCCACCAGTGGCCAAGCGGTTAAAGACTTCTAAATACTGCAAGTTCGCCTTGGGTTCGAAACCAGGCGAACGGATTGGCTGCATGATTAGCTTTCGTGGGTTTCCTTATGTGTAATATGAATGCGAGCCAATTTCCCTAAGAAAATCCTTCAGTAAGGCCTTAGGCAGATAGCTCTCGTTTGTTTTGTCATATTCACCCAATCAAAATGCATACCAAACTCAGTATTATATCACAACAAACCAAACTACTTATAAGTT